GATAATTTATAAATTATTATTTTGTCATATCTTACACTGTCTGATGTCTCCCTTCACCCACTTTTCTGTTGTCCGTCCCCCAGGGAAGGGGTTATATGTAGATCCTTATAATAGGTTCGCCCTCTCTACCCCACACTGCCTCCACCCTCCCGGTATCACCACTATCACCAATGGTCTTGAAGGGAATCATCCATCCTGGATTCCCTGTGTTTCCAGTTCCTATCAGTGTACATCCTCTGGTCTAGCCAGATTTGTAAGATAGAATTGGGATCTTGATAGTTGAGGGGAGGAAGCATTCAAGAACTAGAGGAAAGTTGTACGTGTCATTGTTGCTACATTGTACCTTGACTGGCTCGTCTCTGGGTTGTGATCATTAATATGACCTTCTGGACAGACAGTGTTTGTTTGCTTAGTTCAGGCTAGGTTTTCTAGTGTGCAAAACGATCTTAATATTTATTATTTATTTTTGTTTTTAACAAATGAAGTAAAAAAAATTTTTTTTCATGAATATGTATAGCTTTCAGACAATGCAAAATAAAATGTATATTTAGCTTCTGTTTTCTAAAAATGTATCTTCAAATATTGGCTTATAGTACTTGAATGGAGGCAAAAGTTAACTTTTTAAAAATGGTATTTAGTCTTTTGTTGGCCTCTGTAGGCTGAAAAAATCAGGTAATTTTTATTTGAACTTCTTTATTTTCTAAGGGATGACTATATAATATCCAATCTCAAATGGCTATTATTTTAAAATGCTGTAAAAGGCTAGCTTTACTAGTTTTGCTAGAAGGCTTTCTGCTAAAGGCACCTAGTTTAGTTATGTTAAATACCTGAGCTACGAAACCTTAACTTTAATCATCTTTCATAAAAAGTCTTCCTGAGGATATTCAATGCATCTTTTAAAAATTTATGAGTAATTTATCTAGATACAGATGTTATATAAAAGTAAAATGGGTCAGGGTCATATGTTTCATAACAACTCTTTGAAAGTTTTATACAAGGGGGTACCTCCTCCCACCCAAAACTCCAGAATTTTTTCCCTCGAAAGCTATGCATTTAAATTTATTTATAAAACAACCTATCACCTTTAACATATTCTCCATTACACTTACTATATTTGTCAAATCTGCGATAAAATTCTTGGAAACATTTTTCAAAGTTATCTGTTTGGATGGCTGAAAGCACCTCCCTCGTTTTCTTTCTTCTCCTCTTCTGTGTGATCAAATCCCTCTCCTTTCATGTCCCTCTGCATTCATAGAAACCAAAAGAAGTCATAAGCAGCGAGGTCAGGTGAGTCAGATGCTTGGGACAAGAGAGGCATGTTGTTTTTAGCCAAAAACGGGCACACTGACATGGCTGTGTGAGCAAGGTCATCATTGTGGTAGCAAAACCAGTCCCCCGTCTACCACAAGTCAAGCCTTTTTTGTTGCACACTGTTATGCAATCTTTTCAGAACATCTAAATAGAAAGTTTGATTATCAGTTAGACCTGGTGGGAAGAACTTCAAGTGCACTTTCCCTCTCACATTAAAAAAAAACAAATGAGTATCGTCTTGATCTTGGATTTCATTTGACAAGCTTTTTTTGGGCAAAGTGATGATGGACTGGCTTGATTGATGTTTGCTTTTGGGTCTTAAGAATAGCACCATGTCTCGTCACCTTGGGGAAAAAAGTGTGGGTCACTTTGGAGCTGTCCTTTCAAAGCACGGCATGTTTCCACTCAACACACTTTTTCCTGGTTAGTCAGAACCCACCGCACAAATTCTGCAGTGACTGTTTTCATTCCCAAATCTTCCATTAAAATTTGATAAAGATAATCCTGATACTTCCCCATCTCTTGAATGTCCATTGTCGGTCCTCGAGCACAAGTGTGTGAATTTCGTCAACTTTTTGGTCCATTTGGGAAGTTGGCGGATGTCCAGAAGTTGATGACAAACCTTGACATTTCACCTTTTTTGAAACAGAAACACTCGTACACTTGAGTTTTTCATATAGCACTGTCCTTGTAAGCTGTGTTCAACATCACAGTAGTTTCTGTGGGATTTTTCTCGAACAGGAAACAAACTTTCTTAGCTGCACATTCTCTTAAATTGGCCATCATAAAAACCGCTTTTATGAAAAATTCACTGTGACCATAGAGAACTTTCCCAAGTGATGCCACTGAGTGCACTAATTCAGAGCGAGTTGCTAAATGCTTGCCTAGTGGTGAAGCATGTATACTATGAAAGCTCTATTTAGTGGAGCTTTTTTCTGGTTTTTGTTGGTCCCCCCTATTATAAAAATCTAAGTGGTACAAATTTCTTGCTGTTGCATTTCAGAATCCACAAGCAGTTGGAGGCATTCCCTCTGGTTGCTTTACGTGATTGTGTTAGACAGGGTTCTCTAGAGAGATAAAACCAAATTGCTGATAATTAAATATATTTATTTATAAAGATAATTAGATATATAACAAGAAATGAACTGTTAAGTCATATACAGATAAATATATAATACAAGAAACGAACAGTTAAATTATAAAGCACTACAAAGGGCTCAGTGCAACTAACTCCTGTGAGAAAGAGTTGTGAGAGACTAGCAGTTCTTCATCCCTGATGGGTCTGGGTCAGTGATGATAGTTACAATTTTCAGGCTCACTTCATTCATTCATTCATTCATTCATTCATTCATGTTAAAGAAATTATTTTATTGAGGGTCGTACATTTCTTACCACAGTCCATACATACATCCACTGAGTCAAGCACCTATGTACACCCATTGCCCTCATCAATCTCAAAACATTTGCTCTCCACTTTAGCCCTCAATATCGTTTGCTCATTTTCTCCCTCCCTTCCCCCTACCCCCTCCCCTCCCTCCTGAACCCTTCATAATTCATAAATTATTACAGATCTGTCATAAGTTACCCTGTCTGACGTTTCCCTCCGCCCTCTTTGCTGTCCATTCCCCAGGGAGGAGGCTATACTTAGATTCTTGTGATTGGTTTCCCCCTTCTATCCCGCATTCCCTTCACCCTCCAGGCCTCGCCCCTCTCACTGCTGGTCCTGAAGAAGTCATCTATCCTGGGTTCCCTGTGTTTCAAGTTGCTGTCTGTACCAATGTTCATCCTCTGGTCTAGCCAGATTTGCAAGGCTCATTCATTAATTTTTGTAATGCTTTCCTTGGAGCTCTTATTCTTAGATGCTTCTTTATGTTCAATCATCCTGTATCATCTAGAGCAGCGGTTCTCAATGCAACGTTCCTTTCACAGGGGTCGCCCCATTCATAACAGTAGCAAAATTACAGTGCCGAAGTAGCAATGAAAATAATTTTATGGTTGGGGGTCACCACAACATGAGGAACTGTACTAAGGGTTGTGGCATTTGGAAGGTTGAGAACCACTGCTCTATAAGATACCAAGGTTTATATTTATTACCATAAGGTTTTCAGGTGAAATAGACTGTGTTTCCATTATAGCTTTCAAATAGTCAGCTCATCTTAGAAGTAATTCAGCAGCCTGGCTCTTTTGGTTTGATATTGCTAGAGAAATTTTCTATGATATTTCCCCTAAAATACTAACCTCTGTGGTGATTTGTATTTAGATTTCATTTTTGATAGCAGATTATGTTAACCACTCCTTATTGATTTCTTAGGGTACATTTAAATTCAAGGCAGAAAGCGACCTCTTCCTCGCTGAGCACCACAAACTCCTGTTGTATGATGGGAAACTCTCCAATGCCATTGCATTCACGTACAACCCGAGAGCTACGGATGCCCAGCTCTGCCTTGAGTCCTCCCCGAAGGATAACCCTTCCATTTTTGTCCATTCACCTCATGCCCTCATGCTCCAGGTACTGACTATGGCTTTTCAATGGCATTTTCAAGAATACATTTTGATCTATTACTTAGGTACATTTTGTAGCTTTTATAAGTATGTGGGAGATGACTTGATAGTGCAGTTACTTTTATGGCTGTGCTTTTATTATGCATTGGTTTGAAAAAGAAAATATTGGAATCCTTACTTTGTGTTTTATTTTATAAGGATGTGAAGGCAGTTTTGACACATTCCATTCAAAGTGCTATGCATTCAATTGGAGGAGTACAAGTGCTGTTTCCGCTTTTTGCACAGTTGGATTTTAGGCAATATTTGTCTGATGAGGTTGACTTAACTATCTGGTGAGTACCTCAGTGTCTTTCCTTTAATTTGGTGTGAGGATTACTGTCATCACTGTGAGCACACTGTTATCTTCTGTGCCTTTCAGGCTTGTTGTTGGTCCAAAAGAGAGAAGGTAGCTTAAACAAACTTGTGATCTTTACTTGGCATTACAGATCTGTCTCAGTAATAGTATAGTTGACCCTTGAACAGCATGAGGCATAGAGGATTGATCCCTGCACAGTCAAACTCTGTGTCTAACTTTTGACTCCCCCCCATCCTTTTTTTTTTTTTTAGCTACTCTTAGGTTTAATAATGTAATAAGTTACTTAAAAATTGATGTTACAAATTCAAACTCAAGGAATTTTTGGTTGCTGAGGGAGTGAATCATCCAAAACCTTTAGAAGCAAGCATAATACATAAATTCAACATTTTTATTATTTAATATGCATATATAAATAAATACATGCGATTCTTCACTAAAAACTGTAGGTGGACAAAGAAAACAGATTATTTATAGAGCCAAATGGTTAGATTGGAATATATGATTTCCCAGCACTGAGTGTATTTAAACATTACCTACCGAGTAATGCACGTGTGTAAAATCAAACTGGTCATTATTATTCCAGGGCTAATTATAATCTCTATTCTTTAAACAGGGTTACTAATACAAGGGAACTCAAGAATTCACTCTTAGGCAGAGAATGAGAAATGAACTTGGTATACTCCAGTCTCCCACAATGTGGCTCATATTCATACAAACGAATCGGAAAAGGATCAACTCCCCCAAAACTTAAAAAAGGTTTTTCACCTGTTGGTGTAGCTGCAGTGCATGAACATCAAAATTTACTTTTTATTTCTTTCTTTTAAAAATTTTACACTTACCCTGTATTGGATTCATTTATCTTGAAATGGTGCACAAGTGTGGCTGCAGACCTCATTCCGTGCATATTGTGTAATGCAGCTTTGTGCATTATTCCCATGACAGTATTAAAAACATTTTTATTGGCACCTAACCCACATATCGTACACTTTAATTGTTCAGTAGTTCCGTCATATCAAGAAGTATTATAGAATCATTACCCCAGTCAATTTTAGACACCCCCCCCCCCATGTTTAAATCACCTTTAAAATGGGTTGTGTAATCACAATCCGTTCTAGTGTTCCCTACCCCTTCCTGCCTTCACGGTTTATTCCTGAATTCTCCTCACCCTCCTACTCCCACCCCCACAGCCCCGATAAATCCTTGCATCAGTTATTAATCACTGTTTATCCTCTCCTGTGCCTCACAAACTTGGAAACCCTGTAGAAACAATAAAAAACAAAATGATAAGGATAAGTAATAATAATATAAAGTTAAAAGTATAAATAGTGAATAAGAAAGAAAAGACCATCCTCAATATTTAAAACGCCAAGGAATAAATTTTTGTCAACGGAACACGCAAGAGATATTTGCACCTAGAACAAATTCAGGTTGGTTCAATAGGGAGGTCTGCTGACCAAGTATCAAGTTCGATCCAGCAAGATCAAGATTACAAAGATCTGTCTGATAGTAAGGCTGTTTGAGACCCTGGCCTATGGCTAGTGGAGGTCTGCCAGCGCCTCAAGCTAACTAGTTCCTCTGCAGATGGGTTTTGGCTCCCACTTGGGTGTGCATGATTTTAGCTGGGATACGCTTCCTCGTCATATTTGAGGTTTGTTATTGTCATCGTTGGATCACACAAGCTGGTGTGCTTCTTCCATGTGGACTTGGTTGACTCTTCACGAAGATGGCTTGTCCATGCCTTTGTTCTCTGGAGAACTTTAGCTTCATGAATTGCATATTGTACTTTTTGTGGTTTACTCAATGTTTATGGTTTAGCACTAAATACAGAAGAGGAGATCACTTTTTACCTCAATACACAATGTGCTAGAGATGAACTGCTCATTTGAAGATGATTAGTCTTTCATGGATTAAAAAAAAAATTCACGTCTAAGTGGGCCCCTGCAATTCAATCCCATCTTGTTCAAGGGAAACTGTATTTAGAGTGTTTCTTCTCATAGGAGATATGCAAACTCTAAAGCACTTAATGTTTTAGAAAAGACTAGAAATGATGATAGTTAATGGATTTATAAAATGAATTTTTTTGTCTAATGCTATACTAATTGGAAGCAATTTATGTTGTTATTTGGGAGTTAGTTACTATGGGAATTTACCTGTTTGTATTTAAATTTTTTTATCCATACAAGAAATTGAAAGCCAAAACTTTTGCTGGTACTACATAAGAGGTGATGTAGCCTTTTTTTGGTTTGTTATTGGATCGAACGTTTGACGGTTTTGTCTCAGTTGTAATGTTGTATGTAAAAAACAGTGGCATATGAATTCTGAGATAAGTTATACAAATGGGGTAGAATGTCTCAATAAGTTTCCCATGCCAGATTTTCAACATATATTTACCAGTGAAAGTAATTATAGCAAAATAATTATTTCATTTGCTATTTGAAAATATTAAATTAATTTTCTGTTAGATTTATTTTTGAACTTATCATTCTGATTTCTGCATTATACATAACAGGGTATCTACTACTTATATATTTATTGATGAAATATTTTTAGGCAGATTATCTCTTTTAAAAATTTATTTATTGGGGCTTTGTACAAATCTTCTCACAATCCATGCATACATCCATTGTGCATTTGTTGCCCTCATCATTCTCAAAGCATTTGCTTTCTACTTGAGCCCTTGGTATCAGCTCCTCATTTCCCCCTCCCTCCTCTACCCTCCCTCCCTTCTGAACCCTTGATAATTTATAAATTATTATTTTTTCATGTCTTACACTGATCGATGTCTTTCTTCACCTGTTTTTCTGTTGTCCATCCCCCAGGGAGGAGGTTTTATATAGATCATTGTGATCTGTTCCCTCTTTCTTCCCCACCTTTCCCTTCCCC